CAGTTTGCCGTCAATTGACTGTCTTACCAACAGTATCGCATTGTTTGCCTGTGACCTGGAAAACAGTGCATCTTTTGAGTGGGCCTCGCTCCACACGACGACGCGTGGAAGGTCAGACTCCTTACCTGCAAAGTGGATCCGGCTGGAATGCGATAGTTCAAAATTTCAAGCGGATGTCCGGGGAACGCTCCGCCTTGTTCGGCACCTGGTACAAGTGCCTCAAACTCTCAGTGTGAGAGTAAGGAGGTCATAGAATGCGGCTGCGCCATCTCCCAGATCAGATCCTCGTTGCGACGCTGGATGCGTACCTCCGTTGGAGCAGCGTGCAGTACGACTCCAGGATAGTCCAAGCTGTGGACCGCTGTAGTCCCGAGGTCAATGCGGGCCAGCGTATCCCCCAAGCTACTCCAACGTCTGCCTCCCTCACGCCCTAGTAGTCAAGGCCAAACGAGAGACAGATCGGTCCGATTCATCGAAGGAGAGCAAAGGAAACTGCTTGAGCTTGTTGGCATTGTGGGGCCTGGCATTATGTCAGGTTCTGCCCACACAGGCAGCATCGATGTCAGCAATGCAAAATCATGGGCCACTAGGGCGTGTACTGCAAACCATCGCAGCCCATGAAGAATAGGGAAGGCCTGCACCTTCAGACAATCAAAGGTCATATCCCAGGAGTTGTGTACAATCACCCTCATCAATTGCCATCAAGTTCGTCTGCAGCTAGACGGCCTCGGACATTACCATCATCTCTAGTCGGCCCAGCTTCTCAAAAGGTGATGAGTGCCTGCGTCGGAGAAATTCACTTCCGTTACCAAATGCAATGTTGCGCGTCGTTCCGCGGAACAGCCTTCAGCGGCGCGTGCAATGTCACGAGCACAGAACTGAACCTTCATGGTCCGGATGGGTTCGGATAAGTGTGTTTGGCCGATTTTTCAATGCCCTACACCATGGTTTCGCGACCCGGTTAGGGACACTGTTCCACTACACAAACTACCCTACGGCTTCTGCCGGACACCACACCGGTCTTCTGTCCCCAATGACCGGTCCCCTACGCATCGTTACCTATGCGTGAGGCTGAACTGCAGCGTCTTGGATGCGAAGGCGTCCCATGTGCGGTCTTACACCCACCCCGGGTGGCTACAATCCTCGTGGTAATGGAAGTCAATTGTTCAAAATCGATATGTACTGATTTCTCGGCTTCCCTCCATGCAGCCCTAGATCCATACAACTAACCTCTACCAGCTCCAAAGGACCTATTCACGAATCCGAGTGCAGGAGAATAATTCGCCAAAATCAAACTGGCTAACGCCTGCCTGCAAATAGAAGTCGCTTCTGAGTCCCGATCACTGCTGACTACCAGTACCCATCTCGGTTTATTCCCAAACAACCGCCCACCCTTCGAGGTCACGACCACTCCTGCTATTTTTAAGAAACCCACGGACATACCATCATGGTGGGCATTCCAGGGGTGGCAGCGTAACTCAACGATCTTCTACCTGTAGCCGATGTTGCAGTGTGGAAGATAGTCGTAATCCTGGTGCTCAGTAATTGGTCGAGACTGAACAGTACGGCATGGCAGAGGTATCATGTGACCGGCGTCACGTGGGCTTTGAACAGCGCACCGAGGACCGAGAGCCAATCCGCTCAAGAGTTTCCCGTCTCCATTGCAGCCCCCGAAAACGAACCAATTCGAGAGCAGGACGACCGAGCCGAGGGTATATAAAGGCCCTGTTAGCCCTAATGACCTTACCCACACTGCAGTATCTACCTGTGTTCAGCAAAGCCATCCGTTCAACCTCCCAGCCTTGCTCTTGTCGCAGGCCCGAAAGCTATACATGGTGGCAGCAAAATTGTCGCGAAGACGTAATCGGACCCCGACCTTTCGGAGACAACCAGAAGTTTTGGACAAGGCACTGCTGCATTCCAGAAGTCACTGCAGATTGAAATTGGTGATGAAATTGAGGGCTGGCTGGAAGGCATGGGAGACTCTTTGAGCCATGTCGCCCCTCAAGCTAGAGCGAGCAGGCTCCTGCGAAATCCGTCTGAAAGAGCCAGGTCCAGGGCTGAACGGAGAACTCAAAGAAAGTTTGGAAAAATTGTTTGCAAACAACTCAGATGAATTAAAAAACGACAATAGATCGAATTAGGACCGGCACTTACTAAAACGTCGAATTTATGAAAAGAGAAACCCATATGTTGTATTAGCGTATCTATGAACACCGGTATTGCTTCTTTTAGTTTACTGGCTAGTAGAAAACAGGTAGCCCCTGTAGAATACCCGAGTGTAGTGTGGCGCCGGATTAGGACTGACACATGTTGGACCACCTAGCCGCAGCCAATCCCGTGTCTCTCTGCGATCCAATGGCATGCGGCAAAGGAAGGCAGCCAACCAGAGAAGAACATGGATGAGATGCAGTATATAATGAGCGGCGTGGCCAGCGTGGTGGACTCGGATGAAAGGCGCCTGACGCGTGGCTCTGGCTTCTGATGGGTCAATAAAGCCTGTTCTGTTGTACCGGTCTTTTACCTATTAGGGCTCGGGTATTCTACACTGGTGGCAGCGGATGCGTTCGAATAACGCAAATCGAACCCCAGCCCTTTCCCTTCTGTGGTCAACACAGGCAAAGACCCTTGAATCCCAGCAGAATTTGTCATGGCGTTCATCCGATGTCCAAGAAATGGATCTATAGTCATTGCCCGGGATTAGGACTACTGCATCTGAAGAGGCATTGGCAACGCAGCGACGACGACTTGGACAGTGGAAGCCAGCTGGACTGCATCTGCGAAGGACCTTCAATAGATGATGAGTCTTTCCTGCAAGTCTACAAGAGCAAAGTCCCTCGTCAGCTATTCGCATGGGCCACTATCCTGCCAGATGTGGGGTGCGGGAGGGTGTCGAACTGGATGTTTTACCAACATTGGATATCAACAACAGTGCGGCGAACCAAGCCAGAAGCTGAGAACAGCTTCAATGCTGAGGGGGAGGCAGTGTGGCGTCGGATAGGGGCGCAGACATGTTGGACCACCTGGCCTCAGCCAATCCTGTGTCTCTCTGCGATCCAATGGCATGCGGGAAAGGAAGGCAGCCAACCAGAGAAGGACATGGATGAGATGCAGTATATAATGAGCGGCGTGGCCAGCGTGGTGGACTCGGATGAAAGGCGCCTGACGCGTGGCTCTGGCTTCTGATTGGTCACAAAATCCTGTTATGTTGTACCAGTCTTTTACCTATTAGGGCTCGGGTATTCTACACCCCAACTAGCTGATAATCGCGTTCATCCGTGATGGCAACATGAAGATAGCGATCAATCAACTGAGCCGCATGAGCAAGAACCTCAGCGTCGGTGTTTCTCTGATCGCACAACTCTCGCAGGCAGTTAAGTAATGCTCTGCGCGTCAAGACGGCCTGCGCTAGGGTTTCGGTTTGGCAGTAAGCAGGAGGGGAATGATAACGTAGTTCATCCGAGAGCAAATCACGGATGATTTGCGCAGAAGATGGCTGACGATAATGTAGCGGTTCCGCTCATCCTGAAATGGTTGCCGCGGGAGGCATACAATCGCCATGTTAGGTTGCTACACCGCCCACTTGGTGACGTGGAGAGGGCTCTATCGGAGGACCCTGCGTTGAGCGGTGATGCCACACTCTCTGCGCCGGCACTGACGCGTCCTGCTTCTCGCTGGAGCCATCCGCAACGAAGGAAGTTCCATGGACCAAACTTCAGTCCAACCGGCGGTTCTGCAGTGGCTAAATCTCGTGATGGACTCGGTGTCGGTAGGTCCTCCGTTGCCTATGTTCCATGTCCTCCTCCATTCATGCGTCAAGCGCTGGGATTAGGCCCTTCATATCTATAGGTTTATGCAGTAGGTAACTGCCCT